TACATTTTTTTCTCTTTCTCCCTTTGTCTAATTTTGATATTAAGGTTATTCTGGCTTCGTAAAACGAATTGGGTAACTTTTAAACATTTGATATACTTGTATATTTATTCCTTAGGACATGTTAAGGTTTAGTGCTTTCTTGTGAACAGACCTTGAGGAACAATTTGATTTTTGAAATGTTATAGTTCCATTTAGGTTTCTAAAAATTTTCTTCTTGGGCTATTTTTGGTAGTTTATATTTTTCTATAAAGTTGTGCTTGTTGTCTACATTTTCAGATTAATTTGTTTATTAGTTTCCTATTGTTGCTGCAACAAATGACCACAAATTTAGTAGCTTAAAACAACACAAATTTATAATTTTATAGGTGCGGAGGTCAGAAGTCTCAAATGGGCCAGCAGAGACTTTTCTTTGCCCATTCCAGCTTCTAGAGATTGCCCATGTTACTCGGCCCATGGTCTGGCTTTTACTCTGACCCACCTGGACTGTCCATGATACTCTTTCCATCTCAACAGCCTTAACTGCATCGCACCTGCAAAGTCTCTTTTGTCCTGCAGGGTAACAGGTATCAGGAATTAGGATGTGGACATCTTTTGGGGGACCATTATTCTACCCGCCACAATTGGCATCATATTTTTCATTGTATTTTCTCCTGTCTCTGTAGATGTGTTACTTAAAAAAGAAAAAAATCAGAATGTGTTTATTTCTTCTTCTATCACTTTCTCTCAATCAATTTGTCTGATATTTGTCTATTTTGTTAGGTATACCTTGACAGCTGTGACAGGGTTGTGGGGTATAGGATAAAGGTTAGAAAGGCATGATCAGCCACGCTGGGGGTTCTGTTCAAGTAATTTTCCCCCTCTTGTCATTTCCCATTACTTCATCCAACAAAGCTACTTTCATTGTGCTCTGGGTGGTTTCAAGCAACCTATGGCAGGATGCTTTCTAATTCAGTGCATCCTGAGCATTCTCACTCTGTGTCCCACCCCCAGAACTGGTGATTCTCTATAGCTGAAACCTCTGAGCTCCTTTCCCCTCCTGCCTCAGCTCTTGGTAATAAATACCTAAGGAGGTGAGGGCCTCACCTTGCTATTCCCTCCCGGGCTGAGGCCTGGGCATGCGCACCGGCTGCTGCCGATTGGAGGGGATCGCGCTGGTCTCTCCCCTCCTCCGCTCCTCCCTCTCCTTTTCCTCCTTTTCCCCCACCCCTCCCATCTTCCCATTCGCCCCACCCCGCTCCGGGACCGGTCTGGCTGGTTTCGACATCTGGGGAATAAACCTGTCACGCCCATCCCTAGCCCCAAGCCGTTCGGGCTGTGCGTCTCCGCCCTTGTTCCCTCTCCGCTTCCAGCTCGGACGAGTGAAAGCCGCTACGAACGGCAAGAATGAAACGTGTGTGGCATTAGTGAGTGGTAAACCACCAGGGGATCCCGTCTCCCCACAAACCAACATCTCTCCGAGGAGGCGGAGGGGGAGGGGGAGGAGACAAGGAGCGGAGCGCGGGGTTTCGCGAGCGCGCGCAGCGGCTGGAGCGGCGGGGAGAGGCCGGGCCACCTCCCCTTTCCCAGCCGCGCACCGCCTTGCCCGCGGCGGTTCCAGGCACCACACGCTCCGCCCGGCTGCGCCCGCCGTGGCGGCGACAAGCTCCTGCGGCCAGCGGCACGGCCCACCGAGGAGCGACGCGCTCTTGCTCTCCAGCCCCCCACGATTCCCTTCTCCCGGGCGAGCCGCCCAGCAGCCCGCGACGCCGTCGCATCAACTTTGAGCTGGGGGAGAAGCAACTTTGACAGGGGCCGCGGGTTTGGAATCCCGCTTCTCCTCGCAGCAGTCGCGTCTCCAGTCGCTGAGGTTAGGTGGGGCAAGAGTTTCGCTTGCGCATCAGCGCTGAGTCTGCTGTTTGCAACCTGTTTCCAGCGAGCGGGGAGCGGCATTGTGACTGCCAGTCGTCTGGGAGAGGGGGACTTGTTTTTCTTTCCCTCTAGAGACCTTGGCTCGCGACTGGATAAAGGAGTATGGAAAGGATGTAAATAAGCAGAGCAACTGTAACAAGAAGGCAACCACCCAAAGGCAGGGAGGAGCGTGGGGCTTCGTTCGGTTTGCCCCAATTGCGACATTAATCAAGAGTCAGGTGCTGATTGCAACTTTTCAAGGTCGGCCACCGAGAGTAGCCATTCCCTCTGTGAACGCTGAGGGTACGCCTCGCTCGGATTGGATTCTGTCTGAGAAATGCACGGGACACCAAAGGAGGAAGGATTGTAGGAGTGTATGTGTGTGACCCCAAGACCCATCCTCCACCCTCCTGGTAATCTCCGGTCCCCCGTTGCCCGGGCGGGGGTGAGTATGTGACATGTGTCTAACTCTCAGCAGTAACTTCGGCAGCAGGTGTCGGTCCTAAGCAGGAGCCGCGGCTGCCGGGTGCGCCCTTGCCAAGCCATGCGGGCTACGGGCGCGTTTCTCGTCCGCATGTCACGGCTGCTGCTGCTGCTACTGCTCAAGGTTTCTGCCTCTTCTGCCCTCGGGTCCGCCCCTGCACCCAGGAACCAAACTTGTCGGGGGGAAAGCTGTTCATCTACACTGATCCAGCGCCGTAGCAGGGACGCTTGGGGGCCGGGACATTCTGCAAGAGACGTTGTTCGAGCCCGTGCGCCCTGGGAGAAGCCAGAGTCAGCGGTGCTCGCCGCGCCCTCCTGGTACATACCGGCGGCCGCAGGCGATTACCCAGGTGCCAGGAGAGGGGCGGAGGTGTCGGCAGCCGAACCCTCGGGACCTCCAACCAGACCGCCCAGCCCCTGGAGGTGGAAAGGCGCTCGCGGTCAGGAGCCCCCTGAAACTTTGGGGAGAGGGGACCCTACGGCCTTCCAACTCTTCCTACAGATCTCAGAGAAAGACGAGAAGGGTCCCAGAAGCGCTGGCATTTCCGGGTGGAGCCAGGAGCAAAGTGTGAAGACGGTGCCCGGAGCCAGCGATCTTTTTTACTGGCCAAGGAGAGCCAGGAAACTCCAGGGTTCCCGCCACAAGCCCCTATCCAAGACGGTCAGTGGACTGGCGGGGCACGAAGGGCGGACAATTGCACCTCCTGGGAGGGCGCTGGCCCAGAATGGGTCCTCGGGTGAGGGGGTCCCCGAGCGCGGCGGTCCCCGCCGGGGGAACAGCACGAACCGGCGCGTGAGACTGAAGAACCCCTTCTACCCGCTGACCCAGGAGTCATACGGAGCCTACGCGGTCATGTGTTTGTCTGTGGTGATCTTTGGCACCGGCATCATCGGCAACCTGGCGGTGATGTGCATCGTGTGTCACAACTACTACATGCGGAGCATCTCCAACTCCCTTTTGGCCAACCTGGCCTTCTGGGACTTTCTCATCATCTTCTTCTGTCTTCCGCTTGTCATCTTCCACGAGCTCACCAAGAAGTGGCTGCTGGAGGACTTCTCCTGCAAAATTGTGCCCTATATAGAGGTAATGCCTCCCAGGGGGTCTCAAGCTACTGGTTGTATCCGTTTTCAGGATTGTAGCATCAAAGAACTGCTTCTGGATGCACCTACCTGGCTGAAGCCCTTTGCTGTTTATCTAGGTCCCGCCTCCATTTCTCTTTCCAATCATTTATGCATGTATGTATATATGAAAGGAGGCAGCTTTACTACATCACCTTCAAATTCATCTGCTCCTGGGCTGTGAAAAAATGATGACATCATAGTGTACAAAATTGTTTGGATTATGCATCCATCTCTCTGAATATGGTGTTATGCATATTTCTGATTTGGCACCTATCAGAGATTCTAGGGTTAAATAAATGGCCAGCCCACGGTTGTCATTATCAGAGCCCAGCAAGGGAAAAAAAAATCATTAGCATTTATCTACTAGATTTCTAGTGCTTCAACGTGATTATTCCCTGAAGAAGATTATTGCATTTTTTTAAATACCAAAGTTGGAGTAATATTTTATTTTTTAAAAAAGGATATCTGCCTTTCTTTGTCAGTTGGCCTCATGATATATTAATAACCTCTCAAATTAGTTTAAGTGTCTGGCTGTCTTCCGTGCTATGCTATCTAAATTCTTGTGTCATTTCTGGTTTCTTCCTTTTTCCTTGTCAATTGTCTAACAGTTTTATTTGTTTTTGCATGAATGAAATTAAGCAAAAATAAGACTTTGGCCATCATGACACAGAATTTGTTTAACATATCACAGTATATAGTATTATTTGTCATGTGATATGCGTATAAAGAATTGGCTATTTTAAGGGATTGACGCTAAGACTAAAAAATTTCTTTAAAAGATGGGGGCCTGAGTTCTAAGTAGATTCTAGTTATCAGCCAAGAAGAATAACATCTATTGGATGTCGGGCAGGGGAGAGGGGGGAGGAGGGAGGAGGGGACGGGTATATGCATACACAAAGAGTGCAATGCGCACCATCCGAGGGATGGACACACTTGAAACTCAGACTTAGGGGTGGGGGGCAAGGGCAACATATGTAACCTAAACATCTGTACCCCCATAATGTGCTGAAATAAAAAAAAAAGATGGAGGCCTGTAATAAGTTCTAAACTTTGCAAATGAAAGTCATTTTGAGTAAAATTTTACTGCTTCATCCTGCAGCTAGTGTCCTGAACCATTATTATAGTTGGAATTTACTCTTTAAATGGCCTCTCTTTAAACACCAGCTCTTGGATGGGGCTCAAGTGTTTTGCTGCCAGTTGTGTTTGTAGCCAGCTGGCCCTTGATTTTCTCCATTCAGACTGTCCATTTCATTTATGGAAGCAGAAGAAGGGAAACTGTAAATATTTCAGAGCCCCTGATCCTGTCTGGCACCAGGGCCAGTGACACTATGTTCAACATTGTTCCAGGGCCTAAAGCTAGGGGATAAGTAAACAGAAAACAGTACCTACTTAGAAGGACCAAGGCAAGAGACAATAAATAAGACCCTCTGTTATCTTGACAGAGATCAGATGCAGAGTCATTCCATGACTACTAAATCAGCTGTTGCTACTTTACCAGGATCCAGGATTTCTCTTGTTGCCAAGCTCAAAGTATCTCTGAAACATCTAATTTATTTGGTAGACAGTTCATTTTTCAATTGTGGAGGAGGTCATTAAACTTATGTTAGAGAATATGTGTCTGTTTACCACTTATCTTTTTAAGGTCAATTTCCATTTAAGATTTCTCTGATTATTTGAATAATACAGAAGAAATTGACTTATGCAAGGAGAAAAAAAGTACACTACAAAGGGGGCAGGAGAGGTACTCGACTAAGAGAAATGTTTTGGCTTGTCTTGCTGAACATGTACTAGACATGTAGAAACTTTTATATATTAGAGGGGAAAACAATAGAGAGGACAGAAAAAAGAAATTGAGGAAAGAAAAGAAATTACCAGTTCTTAGAAGAAAACTTTAAAAGACAGGAATTCTATAAAATTCAGGAAAGAATATAAAAACTTTGGTTAGTTTAATGAGACTCAAAAGTTTTAAGTGATGGTATTACATATGTTTTAATTTTCTTTCACTCTAATTCTGAGGATTTTAAAAAATGTATAATACTTTCTTTCATTTGTATTTCATTTTCAGTTTAATTTTCTCCTCCTTAAGGCTATTTTGTTTTTTACCTCTTCT